TCGATCGCTGTCTTGTCAAAATCAACGCGATTCCACCGAGAGGCAAATGACTTTATCCTCTTTATCTTATTACCGACATTTATGTACATCTCACGACACGATCGTCGCGATAATCCCACTTGTTGTATTATCGTGAATGTCAGTCAATTCTTATTATTGCGCGTTGTTCTTGCCTCACATTGTCGATTAAGCTTTCACAATCGCATACGGGGTTCTATCTCTTTGAAGATAATAAATTTATCTTACGCGTCTCTCTATGACTACGGATTTCTAAATGAAAAATTTTCGCAACATACGTTGGAGAAGTCCTAGTCTTTACAATATAATTAAATCGAGAAGTATAATTAAATCTTTACTCTTTTAGAGTGTACTAAAACTTTAAAGCTCACTGAAGAGTGAAATCTCACTCTTAAAGATCGAAAATTGACCACTTCTTTTCAGGATTGGTTATTTTCATTCGTTAGAGTGAGATTCCACTCCAAAGAATTTAAAGAGTATATAATTGAAAAATTGTTTACATGTTTATTCACTGTACATCAGAAGTAAGAAAAATTCAAGTGAGACGTCCTTTAAAGATGAACAGCTTCACCGCTCATTGCTTCGATTCAACGTGCTTATACGAAAGCGAATGTTCTCCATACGAGAGAGGCACATTCACCGATTCCACCCTGCTACGATCGGATCGAAGTCGACCTTACCCCTCAATCGGCGCTCTTCCGGATCAGCGGATGTTTTATAGGTGACAGTACGCCGATGGTGGAGTCAGTGACGAGCTCTTTCAGCGTTTCGTCACGTGTCGAAGTGTTCAGCTTACGGTTAATTAAATCGGGGCAACTCGTGCTGACGCCTTCGCTCTGGTCGCACGCGTGCAACGCATGCCGGGAGATCAAGAGATACGTGGAAACGGAAGAGAGTGCGAAGGGAGCTTATGGTGGGCGCGCGGGGTGTATCGGGTGACGCATGAATGGAGGCCACGCGGTGGTGGTTGAAGTCGACGACGGAAGAGCGGTCTGCGTTGCATCCTTCTCTGTCTCTCCCTCGTTTTCCGATTCACTTCGTCTCCCTCTCTCACTTGATACATATACCTCACCGCATCCCTTTACCGTAACTGACCTGCGCGCAGAAGCGTCCGATAAGAGTGGCGTAGAGATGTCGTCATAGAGGTACGCGCGGAGAACGGAAAACGATGACGTCATTGTTTCACTCTCGTATGACGTCACGGATAAATTGATGACGTATTAAAACCGCTTGTTCTGAGTGACCGAGTCTGCGCGAGAGGATCCGCGAAAGTCTGTCTGGAACGAGTGGGATGAGTGAAACCAGACACCGCAACACGAGAAGCGTTCCCATTGCGATAGCCTCATTTCGCGATGCTTTAGAAACTTTTAATTGAGTTCTCTGTATCGATATTGACGGGGCGAATTTATGAAAATAGGACAGCTATTAATGATTCAACTGTTGTAACTTAAGACACAATTTCTGCTGCGATAGGAATATATTCCATAGGAATATATTCGATTATTGATAATCTCAATCAGACGATAATTTTTGCGAGAATTAAAATTATAAAAATAAAGAACAATTTAAGGAAATTAGATCGTTCTATAATAATTTAATTTAATTTTCTTCTTATGTAAGAGTTTTTAAATTTCCACATAGACACGGACACCTTAAGTTTTAAGAATTAAAAGTCTTACAGAAAAAAAAATGAAATTATTAGTCTATCCTTATTGTTAAAGTAGAAACTTCGAGAGATAGTTATCCGTTACGTTATGAGAATAAACATCACGCAAGCAGTACGAAGAAAATTAGCTATTTTTAGGCTTATGATAATTGCGAACTGATTCTTAGATCATTACGGACAAAATAGCGAAATACCGTCGCAACCTTACGCTATAATTATCAGCTATCGGCTGATTACATTACGGGAGGGTTGGCTGGATTGCACGTTCCTAGGTCATGGGTTAATAACTAACGACAGTACGTCTGGACTGCGCCCTCGATGCATTCCGGTGCATCGTTGCACGCACGAGCAACGAGTATCGACTCTCGCAGAGACTCTCTTCTCATCGATATTACAAAACCGGCTATAACCGACATAGGCTCGTCATCAGATCGGCCTCGGTATATTTACGACAATGTGCAAAAAGTACGATAGTGCATTTGTTAACGCATTACGAAATCATCATTGACGAATTGAACGATTATTTACGATCGTATATTTTATGGCTCTAAGGAAAGGTATTTATTTAATGTCTAACTGTAAATTGAATATATTTAGTTAACAATTTTATTAGTGAGTGGAATTTCTTACGACGAATGGTACTTAAACTTTTAATGAATTGTTAATTCGAAGACAAAGTTAGAGTTAAAGATATCCTTGAAGATTTGAATTAAAATATTTTATCTTATTACTTTTATCTTATTATTTTCTTTGCAAAATATATTATAAAATATAATATCGTTAAAAAATCGCGGAAAAAAATAATATCGTTATCATAATATAGGTATATGTGTACATGTAATAAAAATTCTTGCAGTTTTCTAAAAAAAGTAATTTTATAAAACTCAATACACACGTAATATGCAAATATTTTGCATAAAAATATATTTTTAATTATATTATATAACTCATAAAAATTTTTAATTGCAATACACATATAAAATTCTGCGTATTATAGTATGTAAAAAGAACAACATTAGTAATTATTGACGTAATTAGATATGTCACATTGATAAAAATCGCGATTTATCAATGTGACATACCTAATTATGCTTAATACCCTGTGCAATATTAAAAGAAATCAAGAAAGAAATGGAAACGAGAATCTTGAATGGAGAGCGAAATTAAAGTTTCGAATTTTCCCTCTTTCTCCGTTTCTCCTTCATCGTTTATTTTTTTTCTTTATCTTGAACGATTATCGGGTCCGCGTGCCGCCACCGCCCCACACTGCCTCGAGGTTTGCGTGGGGTAGAAACGGGTGTCGGAGGGCGCGGCGGCGGAAGAAGGTGGCGAGCGCTACCGGGTGGCCAGTGGGTGGCGTGTTGACGTCACCGTAACGGCATCATCAGCCGCGTGGGCCAATAGATGCGCTCATACTCAGGCCGCCGGGTCCATCGATCCGGTTGCAGCCGTGTGTGCGTCCCGAGTTATGACGTTCGCGGTGACGTCATCGTTAGCGCCGTTCGCCTCCCGTCGCCGCGCCTTCCGTTACTCCGCTCCGCTTCTCTCCGCGCCGTCCTACGCCACCACCGCCGCCGTCGCCGCTACACACGGTACGGTTTTAATATAGTGGAGGAACGCGCGCGATCCGGACTCAGTTACGCGGCGGCTGGCCACCCGTGCGAGTGTACCGTTCTCTCTCTTTCTCTCTCTCTCTCAGAGTAGTCGAAGGTCCAGCTCTCTAAGGATCTTTCACCTGTCGTCTCTCGCGTATCGTTCATTCTCTCTCTCTCTCTCTCTCTCTCTCTCTCTCTCTCTCTCTCTCTCTCTTTCATTCTATCCGTCTCTCGACGTCCGCTCCGGTTGCGTTCGCAGAATCGACACCAAAACGCTATAGTTTAGTTTCATGCGATTCATTATCGTGCGGGATTGAGCGCTTTTTTTTCCAGAGAAGGGTGGCTTTATATCTCCGCGTGTTGATCGTCGCGTTTCGGTGCTCCGGAGTGACGATCCTCATCGATTCGCGCTATACCGGTGCTGAATGGTAACCGCGATTACGGCGGCCCATTTCGCGACGAAACAGAATCAATCAGCGGCAGGTGCATCTAAGGATCAAGTTCGAATAAGAAGCTCAACGATGTCGTCCAACACGACGACGCGGAAGTTACGATAAGCGGTGACGAGGCATCAGGATCCTGCATGCGAGTACCCAGAGCGGAAGTATTCGGGCTCCTCGGTGGAGCGCTGACCTCCGACAACATCATCAGGAAGGACTCGCCTTGCCCTACGACGACGCACGCAGGTCGGTGATACCATCGCACATCACATCACGTGTGCTGTCTCTCACGTTTAATTGTTGTTGCGCGGGAGGAGGCTGCCACTCTGCTCCTGTGTGTTGTGTATCTGTGTGTGTTGCGTGTAAAAATCACGAAGCGTTCTCCACCGGCTGATGGCAGGAGTCCCTCATCTATTCCAATTCTTCCTCTTTTACTTTTCTTCTCCTTTTTTCCTCTCTTCTTTTCTTTCGATCTATTTCCTAATTTGGCTCGCGTTATTCTATTAATCGATAATCAAATGAGACAGAGTCTTGACTGATGATAGTCGCGTAACGGATTTTCGACCGTGCTTCACTGAAAGTCTGACCTCTCATTGCCGTTTCTACTTCGTTTTTCTTTCCCTCCTTCCTGCCGTTCATCTGATGTGGCGCGCATGCTTCATTATTAAAGGGATGTATCGATGCCAACTTTTCGCATCTCTTTGAGCGCGACGCGTTTTGTAACTAATCCGGACTGTGCAACGCATACCGATCTCATTTTGTATACAATCTCATCATTCGCATGTAAGGATTAAAGGGACCTCTCGAACCCATCGAGATATTCAATATCGAACATTAGATCATCCCATCAGGGATATCTAGATCTCCAATGCCTACGGCGATTGGAGCAAAGAATTCGTGTTCCAATACAGTGGAGTTCACGTGATTATCTTTGCAAATATATATACATATATATATATATATATATATATAATTCTCTATTCGCGACACCTCGTGAGATTTATAAATCGCAAACGCGTACGACATTTTAGACTATTTATTTTTTCGACGCGGATACGCGTTTGTCGTTTACATCGCGGAATCGTGAATCACCCGCGGGATGTCACGCGCGATCGGCGGTCGTCTGATGAGCAGTCGATACGATTGACCGAAGCGCAAAGTTGAAGCGCTGCTGATCATTCGCGCGATGCGCACTACCGTTGAGGACAGTACCGGCAGCACGGAAGCGACCGCTGCCACCGTCGGCGTCGCGGTGCATCACCATCATCAGCATCAGCAGCATCGCGGTACTACCGACGTCGCCGCCGTCGCCGCCGTCCGACACCTGGGCGTCGAGCAGCAGGAGCGATCGGCGGCGGCGCCGATCCATCTGGCCACCGCCACGCCGTATCATCAGCTCACCATCGCCGCGGACACCAATAACAACCACGATCATCATCGGAATCTCGAGCATCACGCGGTCCAACGACACGATCATTGGAATAAGTGTAAGTTAGAAAACACGGGGCGGCAAGACCGCGGATTATTCCCGTAAGCTGCTCGCTGCTGGTGATGGTTACGGTGATGGTGGTGTACAATGATGATGATGATGATGATGATGATGATGATGATGATGATGATGATGATGATGATGATGATGATGATGATGATGATGGTGATGGTAGTAGTGATGGTGATGGCGGTGATGGTTCCGCGCTGAGGGTGTTAGATCGTAGTACTCGAGCGAAGTTTTTGTTCGTTCGATCGAAATTTTTGATCGCCGTCTATAAAGTTACGTTTTTTTTATTGTTAATAGTATACTCTTTAAAACTTTTAGAATGAAAATTTTAATCTAAAGAGTGAACTTATTTTTAAAAATTGAAAATTGAGCTACTCTTTTTCAAAACTGACTCAATTTTCATTTTTTAAGTTATCTTCGATCTCCAAAAGATCGATCTTTCTAAACAACAATAGCAATTACAAACTAATCCATTTTGCGAAAATTGATTTTTCTGAACTAACTAAAAACACTGTTCTAAAGATCTCTTTGTAAAAAAAATCGCTTTTTTTTCAACAATCCCTTTTTTTTCTTTTAAAGTGTTCTTTTTGAAAAAAATTGATTTTTAACGAATCGATTCAGAGATTGCCTTATTTAAAATGAGATTTTATTCTAAAGAATTTAGAGAGTATGAAAATGATTCCATAGCTTTCTTTCGTTCTAGACGTTTTCATTATACTATATATATCCTGTCGGAATATTAAGAATTCTGCAATTAATTCGATTGATAGCTGATAATTGAATGTCAGTAAATTATGAAATTTGGAATTTTTCAAATATTATGGAATATACATTGTCCATATAAAATATACGTATTATAAAATATTATATTGTAAATATAAACTAGAAAAGATCGCGTTATATATGAAAGAAAATTTGATATCTCTCAATGCGGAATCTCAATGTACAAAACGTTAAGCACAATAGATGTCATTTTATTTTTATTTTACTTTTATAAAAATGAATTTTTTCTTAAAATTATAATCACTTGAGAGTCATCAAATTGTTGAGGAATTCGATTGCCAAAAAATATGTACATATTAAAATATTTGTACTTTCTCTTTTATTATTAAACAGTTAAATTTGGAACTGGAATAATATTATGCGACATTAATGTTTAATATATCAAATTTTTTATTATCAGATAAAAATCAGATTGCAATTTAAAAATCGTCCAATTAATTTTTTCCAATTTTAGTTTGCATTCAATTAAATACATGCACGAAATTAAAATTTTTTATGGAGTATGATTTTGCATTGTTAAAATATTTATTTATTCAATTTAACATTTACTTACTGCTCGATATTTAGGTCATACAATATCATAATCTAGTTTTGCTTGCAAAAACGAAAATTTATCGAAATAAATGTAATCATAACGTCTGTTGTTAATTAAATGTTTGGCTTGCTAACATCAGAAAGATTATTATGCATAATAATTCATTAGCTTTCTATGCAATATTGCTTCAGCTGATCGCTTCAGTTTATTTTAATAATTGTGTTTCGTGATGACATATCATAAGCAGCTTATTCATCTATTTCGGTTTCTAATATTGAAACGAAATATTCGAGCATCAGTCGTCGTTATGAATATTAATCCATTTGAAAAAAGATGATGAGTTTTTTCGCCTGTACAATATTTGTTCTTCGATAATTGTAACTCGTTCTTCTCTGTGCCATTTGCAGTACATCGAGCGGCGGTTAAATAATTGAACGTTATTACAGGGCGATTTGGGTTATCACCAGGGCTTCACCCTCGTCCGATATATTTCCAAACGTTCGTCACCGTTTGTGCCCGATATCTGCTTACGTCACGGCCGTGACGTAGACGGCGGACGAGAATAACGTTATTATTATTTCGCTTAGACAATCGCGGTGGTCCACTTTGACACGATTATTCCCTGTCGGCTAATTAAATTACAATTTACCTGGCGCATTGATCGACGCCGTTAAATTATGACGTCAAGAAAGCTGTCGCGATCCTTTAAGTTTTTAACATCTGCATTTCACATCACTCGATATTATTATAAATAAGTAATAACATTATTAACATTATTAACGTTAAAGAATATCACTTTTTTTGAATTTTCAAGATAACTTATTACTTTAATTTTTTAGTTTTATGCTATTAGTTTTATTAGTTTTAAGCTATTAGTTTTTTGAAATTGTGTTCACTTTAATGTAATTATTTCAGTAAATTTGCGAGATTTCTTGAACTAAAGATGCTCTGTTAAAATCAAACTTTGTGAATGAAAAAATATCGATGTTTAACAAAAATTAAAGATTTATTGGATGTTTAACAAAAACTGTCTAACAAAAATTAAAAGTTTATTGGATATTGATATTATCATGAAACTCATAATAAATAGTAACATTAATAATATTGTTAACACATAAGAATATTTAAAATTTTTAGGTGATTTATTACTTTTATACTTTTAGTTTTTAGAAATTATGTTTTCAGAAAAAAATCATTTGTGAATTAAGAATACTCAATAAAAATGAAATTTCGTGAAGAAATATCGGGATGTATTTTAATAGAAATTAAAAGTTCGTTAGTTATATTTGTATGTCATACAAATATAATTCATCATCATCAATGTCATTTTCACGCTTCCCAATTAGACATATCTATTATCTATTCAAAAAATTTTATTCAGAAAACTATATTATTTCTCGCTTCCACCACAGCTATAATTATCGTTATTATCTTTCAGTCGATTACTCGATAAGTATATAAATAAATCGATATAACCTGCACTCTTACAAGCAAAAACTCTGCAAATCCGTTTTAACTCATTTCCATGCTTCCTAACCAGGCATATCTAATCAAAAAATTTTATTCAGAAAACATTATTTTCTCGCTTCCATTACAGCTTCCATCATTATCGTTATTATCTCTTAGTTGATCAGTTGATAAGTATATAAATAAATCGATATAATCTGCAGTTTCAAGTAAGCAAAAACCCAGCAGGTTCCGTTTTAACTTGATTTAGAAAATTCACTTTGTTCGAAAGACGCATACTTCAGCGTGTTCGGGTGGGCTTTCGCGGGTGGTTTCCACCTTCACGGTAATTAATCGATACCGCGGGATCTGCGCTCTTCGTTTCCCACAGGACTTTTTACAGGTGTAATCGGCACGTAGAGTACAGTAAATATAGTCTGGCAGTTAGCCGAGAGTGCAAACCGTTTCTTTTCCGCGTACATACTTGGCCTGCACGGTGAGACCGCAGGGAAAGAAGAGAGTATACGAGGATTACAAATATAACTACTTACGCTGAGAGCGGGTGCAGGTGCGGCATGGCAAGACGCGGCGAGGTGAAGCGAGACGGCGCGGCGAGGCGGTCAGCCGGCCGATCGGTCATCGGTTTGCATTGCCGCGCTCGAATTGCGACAGGCGACAGCAGCCGATCGTAACGCTTTCGCAGGGAGATAAACGGCCGTGACAATGGTAAATCGGCTTATGACTTCAGCCAGAAACACATAGAAAACGTAAGGCAGTAAGATGTAAGCAGTAAGCGAATCGGTCGATCACTATAGAGAGTAACTTTACTGTTCTGTTTTGTGATTAGTCGATTTGCTTACTTTTGTTTTATTATTTTAATTATCTTACGTTTTTTTATGTTTTTCTAGCTTTTCTCCATTATCAAGCCCTGTTATCAAGCTAAGGGCGGAAATAGAGTTTTGCAAACTATATGAAAATTAACCAATCCTTCATTTCCTTCCTTTCCACGAAATAAAAGATTTTGTTTCTTTAAAAGATTTGATTTGATCAAATCTTGATTTTATTATATCTTACGTATTCTACAAAGATATGTGCTCCGCCCTTAAGCTCCGACTATACTGCTAGCACCGATCGACGAATCAGTTGCTTGGGAAAGAGCGAAAGAAAAAAAAAATGATAGCGATAAAAGCAAACGAACTGATCACCCTGGACCTCGTAAAAAACTTTCGTTAATTCCCACTCCAATTCCCAATCGACATAAATTAAAAGTAACGTAACATCAACAATGTTATAATTTTGTCTTCAACAATATAAATGTAACAGGCTTTTTGCAATAAATTATTACTTAAGCTTTAAATTTTCCTAAGAAATTGATCAATCACAGTCAATTATTCTTCTCCACATTCGACTGTGATTGATCAATTTCTTACGGCTTATGACTTAAAGCTTAGGTAATAGCTTATTGTAGAAAGCCCATAATATAACACATGGTGTTATATAACAGTTACATTGTGGAGTGTAAAATTATAACAATGATGTTATGTTATTTTTAATTTGTATCAATCTAGGTTTTAGGTCAATATAAAACAGCGGATTTGTAATTATTTATAAAATATTCTCACGAAAAAAATTATTTATGCTCGTTCGATCGTGGATATAAGATGCAAAATCTTCGAGGCGAAAACCTTATTGAAATATGAATTATATATAATTTTGATAATAGAGATGATAGAGAGATATATAGTTATAGAATTAATTAATCTCTTCTTTTTTTCCATGCAGACTTTTGTACGAAATTTGATATTTGGAACGCGCATATAAAATAATTCATAAAATTAATGTTTTAACATATTTTACGTATTCTTGCATTCTTAATACAGTTTTTTTTCGCATTTACTGTAATATAAGCTAACAAATAATTGAAGACACAGACATCGTCTATCAAGTAGTTAAATATCTTTAGATTCAGACGTCAGCAGATGTTTTCATCACAATGTCTGACAATGATTGGTTCTAACTACTTAGCGCGGTGAAATATTTTAATTAATTTTGCAAAGCTTGTGCATTATAATTAATAGATTTCTTTTATATTTCTTTTTATATTAATATTATCTCGTTTTGATTGTATTATACTATTTACTGTATTTATGATATTATATGATATTACATGATTTATGAAATATTGCTATATTTTAATATAATAGAGATCTCTCTATCTTATAAAT